AGTATATTAATATGTACAACTAAAATTACTAATAAAGATATGAGCAAGGCCTCACCTTAACACCAAAAAAAAAAAATAATAATAATTTTTATAGGTTCAAAAACTGGTGTTTTAATAAAGTTATAAAATTTAAATCAATTTATAATATTGATATACTGTATTGCACATCAATTACATCTTGTAGAACAAGATACAGCAAAGCAAGTTTTATATTTTTAAGAATATGAAGTTATATACAAATTATTATATAATTATTTTAGTAGTTCATATAAGTGAATATTAAATTTAAAAATGATTTAAGAGACTAATGATGAACCACAATTATGTTTATTAAATATTATTAATACATGATGACTTCAATGTCAAATACAGTTCATAATTTGTATCAAATTTTTGATTCTATTAAAGATGTTCTAAATTACAATTTAATAATAACTGAAAATAAACAAGATAGAGAAAAAACCAAAGAATTACTAAATTATTTAGATTTAAATTTTATGTTAATTACAAAATTTCTCACAAATTTAATATATATTTTAACTAAACTAATTAATATATTTCAACATGACCATGTATCAATTTCAGATCTTCAATTCAATTTAGAAACAATTATATCTGCAATTACAATACAGTTTATTAGATATAATAACACACCACTAACATATAGAATACATCTATCAACATATATAGTTAAAAATTTTATTAACTCAGATCAACTTCCATCTTCGATATTTGAATTTGCAACAGCATTACTTCAAAGTCTAAAATCTCGTTTTCCCAATACGAATTTATATAATGCAATGAAGATCTTTGAGCTAAGTTTATTACCTCGTAAGGACTGTGATTTGTCAAATTATGGAAATGCTGAAATTGAAATACTAGTTGATTTCTATGGGAATGATAAAGAATCATTTTATTTATTTGAATAACTCAATAAACGTATTATTTATTATCACAAGGTTTAAATCAGTGAAAAATGATTTTTTACATGAATTTTTAGTCTCGATATATTTGTCACGTGATGTTCGAAACTTTTTGGGTGGCTGTTTTACCCCGGTCTGCATTTCTGCATAGAACTTTTATTTGTTTTTCATTCTATATATATGTGTATACTTGATTAAAATTTTTTTTTGTCGTTGGTAGTTCTTACTTACTATTCCTTGTTATAATAAATATAACCAACATGGGTGTCAATAAACCGATTTGGCATCATTTTGAAATGCTAAATGTATTTAAAATATATTGTCCTCCACAAATATTTAGAATTTCATTCGTACTTTCGGGTTTATTTTCTTTTTTGTGACATTGAGTTGTTTTAGATATTTATTATAATTACATAATTATATATTAGGTATCGCACAAAAAAATGCGCGGTATAAATAAGTTTGGTCAGAATTCATTTTTTAATTGTTTACAACTTTAGGCAGGTAATAACCTTAGGCACGACAATATCATATTCCTAAGCAGACTTAATCGACTCTTCATTTTTTATTCAATACATTACTAATATTTTCACTTATAGTTGACATCGAAGTTACTGAATTTCGGCATGCCGCATTATTTTACTGATGGCATTGTCGCATATACCTATACTATATATCTGACATTGTTAATTAATAATTAATGTGGCATTGCGATAATGGAATTAATTATACTCTCAGCACAATCCCTACATTCGGCCAAAAAAACCCTAATGATGCAGGGAATTAATTCTAAAATCGGTTAATAATTCTACAAATTGTAGAACTGATACGTACGTAATCTTGTAAATTGCAGGTTAGGTTGTGTCGATCATTGCTGATTGTATCCAATAAAATCACAAGATTACGTGTAACTTAAAAAATTCGAGAAAACGAAAAAATCGTAAATAACTCAAGGTTTTACTATAATAACCACATTTTGACTTCTAAATAAAAGTTTTCAGCACGAAATTTTAGTTACATATACGTTTAATTATCGAATATCAAGTAAATTAAAGCTTGCGCTTAAAATTCTGATCTTTATGCTCTTCCGATTTGATGATCGACATAACCTGTTACAAATTTCAGACGTGCATGTAAATTGACTGACTCTAATAGAAGATCGCATAGGGACGCATTTCAATTCACTGATAGTTGCTTGCTTATTTTTGAATGAATATAATGCGTCATAAATTTAGTCCAAACCTGAAATTTCTGTACTAAAACAAAACTGCAAATTTGTATTATAGATGAGAGAATAGATGCAAAGTAGCGTGAATTTACAGAAAGTTTCATACAATAATTCTATTTAATTAGAACTATGATATAAACAAATAGTGCACATTAAATTTTTAAAAATGATTATAAAAAGGATGTGATTAATCTTTTCAACTGAAATCAAAAATAAGAATAATTACTACTTATCCTGTTTATCCTTCAAAAAGCCATTAAAATGATGTCAAAAAATACTTCAAATTTTATTATTCTATTTATCATTTGCATGATCTTTCTTGGATTACTCAATCTAGTTCCGTCGCTTATGTTGATTTTCCTTCCGTGAAAAAAAGAAGCCTTACAGTAATCGGTCGATTTACCTGGGAAGAAATTTCAGAAAATTACCCGAGTTTACGGAAATTGCGTGTCAGGTTTTAACGATCCAGATATTAATGATTATACATTCTGTTTGGAAAATGAACATGGAAAAGTAATTTATGACCTCTCTGAAAACATTCATAAGCGTGTCAAGGTTGTATCACCCGGGATTACACCTTATCAAGAAAATTTTAAAAATGGTATTATGAAACCTGATACCATTGTAAATTTAAGATTTGTTATTAGATGTAATGGTAAAAAAATTGGAGATGGCCTTGTTAAATATCTTTAAATTACCAATCACAATTGTGAACAATTAATTAATTATTTTCGTTTAGATTATCTATTAATTGATATTACTATTGAAATATTTTGTCGTAAATTATAGATTAAATGAATAGTATTAGTCGTTACAAACTTATAATACACAATATCTTAAGACTTATTCGTCTTCTTCATTGCGGTGGATTTGTAAAATATCCCAAAATTTGAAAATTTTGACTACGATTGTGAGTCATCTAATTAATAGGATATTTGACTTCATGTATTTACTCATAAATGATATACATATTAGAAATCGTAACAAAGGTAGAATTATTTTTAATAAGTACCGATAAAATTAAACGAGTTATCTCAACTGTATTGAATTTGAAATGAGTTTGCTATAGTGGGAAAATACATTGTTATTACTGTAATAATTTTTTGGAGAGTTCAATATTAAAAACCAATAATTAATTTGAACTCCAAAACTTAAATTTTGGGTCCAAAGTCCAAAATTATGACTACGCTCATAACAATCATATGCAATCACAATACTACTTGAATACAAGCAAGAACCTAACTATTAAGGAAACAACCCAAAAAAGGCTAAAACACATAGTAGAACGTGATCTACCATAAAGTCATCTGATCTCTCGCTATGTCACTTCGTTCCAATACGTAACTTCCTCTATTTATTATTATTACTCGATAAAATAACTACTGTATTAAAAAATACAGAAATACAACTAGGAATCTTTTCATTATTCTTACAGGCTCAATCTCCTATAATTAATATTGCTTCTATAAGCAATGCTACTGGAACTGTCTGCTTCTAACGTATTGTCACTGCAAAAATGACAAGGGCAAAATTCGAAGGTAATCTTTACTTGAGGCATTACGATTTGACGAGTATCTTTTCACCGCTGTTTTATTACACCAACATCGACAGATAAATATTATTCACATGTTACATGCGTTTTTATATTACTAGAACCCAATAAATAATTCCCTTTTTTCCCTTTAGGTTTTTCCCACCAATTTCCATTATCTAACTGTCTTCCATCTTGCCACATTGAAACCTCATTGCCATACCCAATTTGGTTTTATGCTTTGGTCGTTGGAAATTATCATGCATGTTCCATCTGATTTCGGTTAGATCATGCATGTTCCATCTGATTTCGGTTCGGTTAGATCACGAATGCACGCATTGATCAGGACAAAGAGAGTACGATCGTCAATCTTATTGCGTAAAGTCACGATCTTTTAGGCACGGTTTATTTTACTTGTGGCAGCATCTAAAACTGCGTCAGCAAGAAAGCACTTCTAATATATCTAAAACTAGGTCAGCAAGAAAACACTTCAAATATATCTAAAACTGTATCAACAAGGAACAACTTATAACATACCTAAAACTGCGTCAGCAAGAAATAAACCTATAACACAACTCTTTAACTACCAAAGAAAGCCACCATGAAGTTATCCATATTGCTATAGAGAAAATCAATTATGTAAACATTCATGAAATGACAAAGATTCTGTTTATCCTAACGAAAGGAGTCCTTTCATTAACATTGCATCTGCAAAGCCAAATCCAATTTAATGATGATCCTTGCACCGCTACTGCTAGAGACGCGCAAAGTAATAAAATAAGTAATAAATAAATATATATATATATTTTTTACCCTTAGGTATTTTTACGTATCAATACTTTTGTTGCTTATTATGACTGACTATAACTTATTACTATTCACAAATACAAATTATATAACTTTATAATAAGATTAGACATATTTTGAAAATACTATAATTTTTTTTTACTTATTGTCATGACGTAGTGGTAATATTTCTTAATGATAAGCAATATTGTGTAGAAGCCTAATTGCCAAGATTTTGCACTACTACATACTAAATCTCTAACATCACCAAAAAAAAAATTAGGCATATACCAGAATTTGAAACTAAATATTTGTACTCAAATAGCGATTGATTGATACTAATAACTTATCGACATAATTTTTTTTTTATAGTAAAGATGGATATTGCATTTTAATTTAATTTTCGTTATATTTTATATGTATATCCTTTTTAATTAACACTACATCAATTAAATTTCATGATAAAATAAAAATTTTGTGGGATGGCCAAGATGATAGTGCCAGCTTCCCTATGAGGTGAGCAATAACAAAGAGGAACATAATCTATATCTACTAAAAAAATTACCCTGACATTATATTTGAACCAATATGTCCCTTCTATTATCAATTAATTAACACTTATATTATTTTTAAATTATAAAATAAGTGATTTTTAAATTAATAAAAAATAACTCCCATGTGCATTCCAGGTACCTAGTTTGTAAATAAATTTCCATTATATTCCTGTTTTGGTATAAACAGTATTGTAAATCGTGACTAAAATTAGTAAACTCGTGAAGAAATTGAACATGAAAGTCCAGTTACACAGTAATGAAAGTTCGATTGTAATAATTTAATTCAATTTACTAATGGAAATGTATTTTCAAATATGTAAATTGTTGCAGTAGTTTCTTTATAACAAATCGAAATGTATAAAAGTACTTTCATGCTTCAATAAAGCCCAGACTTTAATGTCTTAATTAAATAGAGGTTTTAGGAGTTGGATTCTCAAGCATCGAAACGATCAAATTTATTATCGTTAATAAAGAAAAAACATTTTATTCAAAATTGTTTCGTCGTGCTGTTATTACCTCCCTCTTGCATAATTCACGTACTCGTATAATTAACAAATCATATCGTTTACACTATACTTAAATCACTTAAATTGATCTTACATTAATTGCATAACCGTGACCTAATTCAATTTAAGAGACCATCCCTAACCCCGGTATAAATTACTTCCGCTTATGTGTCCAAGTCGATAAAATACGATTATTATAGAACAATCACAACTATAAGTCACTACCGGGAACTAAATTGACTATAACTTGAAGACGTTCTTCTAACTGATAGTAACACTACTTTGTGATGAGACGGATTCTTTATTAAAATAAATGCTTTTCTTTTATACATTATGATTAATATGATTAATATGAAAGATCCATTTTTTTGAAACCTACTATATTACAACATCAGAGGTCGTGTTAGCCTCATGTTAATATTCACACGCACACTGCTTCATGCGGTGGGCTTTAACAATCACGATACTAATTTAGTTAAACGATTAATAACACCAAAAATGGAACGTCATAAAACTAACGCTAATCATTATGCCCAGTTCACTGTCGGACCTTATCTAAAATCTGAGGAAAAAACATTATAAATAATTAATAAAATTGAACAATCGTTTGAATATATTTTTTTTTTTAAAAAAAAAATGGAAGTCCCTACAGACAAAATTCCAACAATTTTAATTGTTGGAGCTGGTATTGGTGGTCTTACTTTTTATCATTCTATTCGAAAAAACCTTGATAAAAAATTTAATGTTAAAATATTCGATCGTGAAATAAGTCCTCAAGGTTCATTTTTCAATATTAATTAAATTACATAAAACGTTTATTATTAATTAATTAATTAATTATTTTTCATTTACTAAATAGATCGATGGCAGGGTTATAATATATACTTTAATAGAAAAGGTATTACCTCTTTATTCTATTGCACGCCATCTGAAGTTCAATCTCGTTTTCCTGAAGCAATGCCGGATCCAATTCCTACCGAATGTCATACTTTGGCGCTTACCGATCATGTTGGAAGATATTTACTTTATACACCATATCAAAAAATTAAAAACGTCTATGAAATAGAACCTCTTAAACATGATTTTGCTGGTATAGTTACATATCGCAATAAATTAAGAGATATTTTATTGGAAGGTGTTGATATTCAATGGGGTAAAAAATGTATTGGTTATGAAGAAAGTGATAATGGTGTTTGGGCATTGTTCGAAGATGGAACAAAAGAATTTGGTGATTTATTAATTGGTGCTGATGGAATTAATTCTCCAAGTATGTTATTCTCATTACCTCTTATCATCAATTTTTTTTCATTTATCTAATAACCTAATATTACTTTTTTAATGTATATAGTTCGAAAACAAAAGGTTCCTAATTTAGAAATCTTCGATCTTGGTGTAACTAGTGTCGTTGCAGATGTTGCCATACCAAAAAATTTGGTCAATCAATTGATGTCTATTTACTCAAATTCAGCAATACAAGAATCTCTTGGCAAGAATGGCGACTTTCATTTTTCATTATTTCGGCTTATACCAGTCAATCAATCCGACGAACCAATTTATAGGGTTACTATTGCATATATTTATCCAACAAAACTTGATATTAAAGATAATATATCAATTAACGATGATGATCCCGAATCTATTATAAAACATACAATTTCAAGAATTAAACAATTACGTCCTCCTTGTGAATTGACCGATTTATTAATTGATTTATTTTCATCTGTTCCATTCTCTCATTTGGGCGAAGAATATCCATTTCGGACATATAATCCTCCACGACGTCGTCAATTTCGTGATGTTTATCCGTTATCTGTCCCGCCCTGGAAAAATGATAGAATAGTTTTGCTAGGTGATGCAGCTCATGCTATGAATCCAATATTAGGATTAGGTTTGTGTTATTGAAAATTTCTTTATAAAAAAACTGTTAATTATTATGTACTTATCTTTCAATATATTAAGGTGCAAACAATGCAATACAAGATGCAGATCTATTGACCAAAGAACTACTTAAATATGAGAATGATAATTTAATTGAATGTATTCGACGATATAATGAACAAATGCGAGCTCGATCATCTAAAGATGTTATGGAGTCACGTAAAATGATACTAAAAAATCGAGAATCAGTGGGAAATTTTGGATTAGTTATTAGATATTCTCTTTTTAGAGTTACCAACTTTTTTAATTACATTCTTGCATTTATTAAGTTTCATATTTAGGAATTATAAATCTTTATTTACGATTCATTTCATTATTCATTATAATATTTGCGTACTATAGTTTCGGTGTATTCATTCTAATAAACTTTGATACTGTAATAAATCGTCTATTATTGTCTGGTACAAAAATGTACTTGTATATATAACGTTATGTCGTGCGTCAGGTAAAATTTACTGATTGATGCTTATTGATACTCTATTGACCTTCTTGGTGCCAAAATCTGGCAGCAATAGGGATGTCTATTGGATATTATTTTACATGTACTAACACTAACGCGAGCTAACTTGTCGGGATATGCGCACAAGGGAGTGTATCCATTTGATTGAACCTTGTGTCACTGTAATGCCCACATTGAGAGAGCAATATGTGATAGATTAAATTTTGGTGATTTCGGTGTTAACATAACACAAGTAAAATGAGCAGTCGATCGGGGTAATACGTAATACACAATAAGATGCCCAATAGGTTGCTAATAGACATAATAGGGTTTTTACTTATTGTAAATTATTTAATCAATATTTACCAATCGGGCCAATAGGGTACAAATCGGGATCAATAAGACACTAATAGGTACCAATGGACAATTATGTCTGTCAAATGAGTCCAATGAACTTGAATATTGAAAGTTTTTAATGTCTAGTACCCAGTTAATCATTGGATTAAATTTATAAAAGCGTTTATATTAAAATTTAACTAGTACCCCCAAAAATATTCGTTAATATATTAGGTTAAAGTTTGATTTTTTTATGTCCAATTTATTCCAATGTACAACATTGCCAAGAGACTGTGTGCACATGATACCAAAAGTTTTTATTGAATACGGAGGCGCATTTATTAAAAATTTTAAGGTTACCTTGGCTTTCAATTTCATGATTATTATATTTACTAAATATATGTTAAACTCTATAACACATATTGCTAATTATTATTTGCCCGATTGAATGGGTTTATTTAAACAAAGAAATGAATATAGGGATTCTTTTTGCTATCAATTATTGGCACTGAATCATACATATAAAGATATCTAGGCCTTAAAGAAATATTTCTAATTTCTATTCAAACCAACAATTCGCCTTATACGTAATAGATTATATATTTATGCTTTGCATGGGGAGGAAACACATAGTTGTAATGATAATAAATTAAATGGCGTCATGTATCAATATGAGTATTGTTACCTACCTATAGAGTTTTGTAATTATATTGCGACCGTGGTGCATAATCAAAACATAAGGTCCCTAAGTTGCTATCGCAGCCGTGAAACCTAATCACAACATGTGATCCTTACACTGACATTAGCGGTTGATGTCAAGATTTGGGTTGAAACTAAACTACTGCTTCTGACTAGTTAATTTCAGTTTCAACAAAAAAAAAGTGTTAAAATTTGGTTGGTCAAAAATTTATCGTTACATTTAAAAAAAAAATTATGAAAAAATTATAAGAAATGTATTTGATAATCGAAACAATTTTTTATCAACGTTAATTTATATACATATTTTGCATATCACTAAAGTACTTCGTTTTGAATTCAGTGCTATACTTATTGGTGATGAATGTTCAAGGTTTACAGTGCATGTACGATCAGACCTAATTAAGTGCACCTTTTAGAAGTGCATACTCACCCTAAATGCAGACTCATGAGTCTTGCTATGCAGACAGTACCAAAGGCATGGTCTTTTACTATAGAAGAGTATATTTGAGTGAACTGGTCTGTCGGGACGGTAAAGGTAAAGGTAGTAGAGCGGGCGGATTGTGTGTTTAGATTGCGACCTGTTCGGACGACAGTCGTGATGGAAGGATGGCGACTGCTAATAATTAAATGTCTAGTAATTTTATAATAGCCAGCCGATACTCATGAAGGCTGCGTAGTTTGTTCGATAGTGGAAGAGACATATCCGTATATTGTTCTTCATAGTTTTAGGTGCACAGGAAAATGAGAGATAAAACAATAGGATTAACTTGCTGAAGTTAGAAGTAAGGTTTATGATAATTTTTATTTGTGCAATTTCGTGGTCTGTAAAGTACTTAAAAATGTATAGATAAGTAACTTGTCGACCAATAAAACTTCTGCCTATGTGCCGAAGATTGAATAGCCATGTGACAGGTTAAAAGACTGGTACTAATCTAATCTTTCTAAAAGACCCATTATTTTAATTAAACCGTTTATAATATTATAAAATCAAGTGCACTAAACATAAGACATACATATTTTCTCCATTTTTATTACTAATTTTGTGGCAAAGTCGCAACTTGTGCAAGATCTAGTTTTTTAAGTTTGATAACAACCTACATAAACTGTTTAAACTAGCAAAATAAGGATTCAGAAATGAAGTACTACATATTTATTTATTTTTACTAACAGGGATGTGAAAATATCAATTTCCTAAATTTAATACAACTAACAGAAATTTTACATTACTTGTACAGAAAATATTAATTCTAAACCAAAAATTATAAACCCAAATTTTTATTTTAAACCGTAGTATTCATAATATTTGGAATAAATTCAGTAACCCATCTAAAATTGTCTTTTTGGCTTACATCTAAAAGCATTATTATCGGTGAATTGTTTTCGATAGGAAGTCTATTACCTATTAAACAAATAAACGTTTAGTATGTTTAAATAAGGACGATTTCTATTAGGACATTATGTATATGTACACGGGTATAGAAAAGCTAATCAGAATGCAAGACCTGGTGTAATATAATATTATCACGTCTTTAAAAAATTGGTCATATCAATTATGAAACAACCTTTCAGGTTCTAACTAAAACAGATTCCTCATGAAATTTTCGGATAATTAATTACCGTATCCTAAACCCAAACTTATTTTGCCCCTAAACTTAATCAAAATTTGATTTTTTTTTTTGTAAAAATTGTTACGCAAAGTTGCAAATTAATACCCGTGCATAATACACTACGTGTCGAATTAGAATTTCTCTTAAATAAATAATAATGGGTGGGCATAAAATAATTAAAAATTTACCAAAATTAATAAACATATAATTATTCACTAAAGTCGCAGTATGTCCATAACTGTAAATAATAGAATCCTCAGATGAATTTGTAATATTTCCTTTTGTCCATGACCATTGAGAATTTTCAATATATAATGTCCACGCATCCCCACTAACATATAATTCATCCATCATGCCACCATAAATTATAATACGATTGTCGTTGGCTTTTTAATTTAATAATTAATAAAAGAAAAATTTTAGGATTCAATCATATATTGGTATAGTTTTGATAAATAACATACTCAACACCGCCGAGAAATCTCTACGACCGGGAGGTGCTGGACCAGATACAGCCTAATAAGATTATTAAGTTAAATAAGAATTGTAATTATTTGTATGTAGTATAATTGACACCATTAATAAAATTATAATCAATTGATTTAAAGTAGAGTTCTGATCCAGATAATCTTTCATCCGTTTATCCGTTTCTGATTATCCGGATAATTCAAATCGCTCAGATATCCAATGTATATTCGGATAATTATCCAAATATCAATAGTAAATGGGTATAAAACGGAAATCTGAATAAATTCAGATCTGGATATCCGATGGATAAATGGTAAACGGATAATGGATAAGAATACTAATTTAAAGTAATTAATTTAAGGTAGGTGCCAACTATACTATATTTACTTATTTATTCGTCACATACCATATTTATCCATGTATCAGATTTTGTATTATATAATGGCAACTATATAGATGCATTAATAAATAAAAGCTAAAAAATATTTAATTTATAAAAGATAATACATACAGTATCCATTGGAGCAAATAGGTCAGATGTCTGTCCACCAATGTATAATATGCTTTGATCAGGTAAAGTTACTGCGCAATAACCCACCCTAGGTGAAGGAGGATTTTGAGCATTTTTTAAATTCCATAACGATGTTGATATATCGAATGTCCAAAGATCATTAAATAAATTATCGCTACCATTTATAGCAGCACCTCCAAAAATAGCGATCAAACTATCATTAAATTTAGCACATGAAATACCATATCTATTAATTGGTCCAGACTTGATATCAGTCCATACTTTTTTACTTATATCATATTGATGAGAAGAAATATTATCAGATCCATAAATGTAACCACCAAAAACAAAAAGTAATCCGTTATTTTCTCCACCACTACAGGCCGAACCTTTAAGCGTTTTAGGACTATTAATATCAGTAAGGTCAAACCATGGCATTGATGTATTATTATCACTCGTGTTAAATGGTTTAGAAACATCTAAGTAGAAGAATTCATTCGTAGATTGATCAGTAATTCCACCACTAAAATATATTTTCTCATCAATAAGGACTGAGGAATGATCCATTCTTTCAGCTGGAATAAAGGCAGAAACAGAATTTAGGAGAAAAATGAAAATATAAAAACTAAAATATAATAACATTGTGCTAAATAAAATAATGTCTGTAAAGCGAGTAATTTGAATATTTGTAAGACGAGTAATCGGTATAAATTTTATCGTACTCAATCAAAAGGAATTGCTTATTATTAGGCCCAGGAAAGCAAACTGTAATGATAAAATTTAATAATGAACAGGGAATATACAAATGAGGCTATATTTGTATATATATATATATCGAAAATTAATAGAATTAAATACGGAGAAGTTTAAGAAAATAAATAAACAATAGATCAATAAATAATGCTTAATTCTTAGTAATAAAATTTTAATAATAAATAAAACTTTAGTAATAAACTTAGTAATAAAACTTTAAGAAATCAATTAGATAATAAGCAAATCGATTCATAATTATTAAAAAACAAATCGAATCTAAGGTTTTATTAAAGTCAAACGTGAAGTTATTTATATATAATTTGTAAATTGAGATACCGTACCGTACTAAAATTAAGCGCCAATCTTCTGCATGTAATACAGGCCAAATCTTCATAGTGCAGGTCAGAGATGCTTATTTTCGGAGTGCTTAATTTTGGAATGGTACGGTATGAATATTTTAAGGTAGACCATTACGATAATTACCATATTTATACCATTCTACGACTTTAGTATATAATCTTTTTTTCGAGTTTCAAAATTTACGTTTTTTCTTATCATAACTTTGATGTTTTTCTTGGCCTTGTCTCTCTACGGTATTACGAATAGTAGGGTGTATGGTTTAGTAAAGTAGTAGAGTATACTGTAAAAATCGCATTTGAGTATATAAAATTAGCATATTATACTCATAATATATTATATATAAAATAGTCTGGAAGAACACTATCGACTATGGCTGAAAGGACATAAATTACACTGGTATTTTCCATAATTTGAAGGTCTAAAAAAGGCGTTGTCGAAAGAATGTAAATTGCGCTGATTTGGAGGCCTAAAAAGAGCATCCCTTTTGATTATCGGCTGTGATTTGGAAGAGCATTAATGCCCGCCATCATTTGAAAGTCTAAAAAAGCATCTTTTTGATATCGGCTATGATCTGAAAGAACAATATCGATTATGACTGAAAGAATATAAATCTCACTAATGTCTGTCATCATTTGAAGGTCTAAAAAAGCATTCATGTAACATTTGTTTTGAACTTTGGCATTCATTGAAACTTGAAACCCGATTTTTTTAAAAAAAAATTTAAATGCTGTACTATATAAGTTACATGTCTGTATAAAGGAATGTAAATTAATATTCTTGTGATTTGTACAATTTAATTCAAAAACTACAAGTTTTGACGTCAAATATACTCATACTTATGTTTATTATTACATATTTTATCAAGTCATTACATTTTTCAATCAACTGCAAAAAATTGCAATTAATTGGCTTTCTGTGACTGCACCACCAATCAATTAATTGGGTTCAAATAATTGCGATTAATTGCCCTCACAATGAATTATTCGATAGGCCTGATTCTAAATAGAAATTTGATTAATAAATAATAATCTTGATCGGATTTAAAATGAATTAAATTGTTCAAATAATATTGAATTATTAAGTATACAAAATCTATAAGTTACAAACTCAATAGTATAAATTTAAAATTTTCGTTATGCTCAAAGAAACCCGTTATAGTAAAATTTCACTGTAACTGGATTTATAAACGAATCTCCCTTCATTCATGAACCAAATTAACACAAATAAATAATTAAAATGACAAGTTAAATAACGAAAAGAACCAATACCTAAATACAGCTCACCTTTGTTAGAGTGAACTCTTGATATAATGGAATTAATATTTTCGAGTCTAGTATTTTCGAGCCTATAGGTGCAGTAGGAACTTCACTATAATGTGAATATGTTGTTTTCTAAATATGAGCCATATTTATTTTTTGTCGGCATATAAATAACAACATACGTATACAATTAACTTTCGTATAATGAACTGACGGTTCTTATAATAAAAATTTTTATGTTTCTTATAGAAGTGGTTTACTATTTCCGATGCCGGGCTTTAATAAAAAAGTTTATTATATATACTATTATAGAGCATAGATACGTTCGTTATAAGAAGGTTCCGTTTGCCCATCAAAATAAAACCAGGTGGTCGGATTATCATGTAACTGCGCCCTCCATTAGTGATGCCATTGGATTTGCTGACTCGATTTTATAAGTTTTAAAGCCCGAAGTCTAGTTTTCTCTAACGTTATGTTTGCATACAGCAGAGACAGTTAATGTTACACATATATTAAAGCGGTGATCACAGGCGAGAGGGATTCACTTCGGATCGGGCACTGTATCTACTGCATAAATTTATATACACTTGCATATTATACATGATGTATTACTTTATATACAACTCTAATTTAATGTATTATACTCTATTACTTTACTAAACCATACACTACTATTATTCGTCTCTATGGTAATCAATTTCGTGCTAAATTATACAAAATTTTATTTTTAGTCTCCAATGGCAGCTTGGATCTTTAGTTATTAGAGATATTCAATTTTGATCGATCAATTTTGTATTTTTAAAAGTAGTAAAGATTTTTATCAAAAAAAATTTATATCTTATGTCATTGTATACACAGATATTTATGCATAGTCCCAAAATTTTTTATCGAATTCGATTGTATTTATAAAATCTTTTAAATTTTGATTCACAATTAAGTGTATACATCTTTACATAAACTTGTCAAATTTATTAAAAATATGTATGACGATAATAGTACATACAGTAACTTTATTTCTGATCATTTCTACATATAGCTATATTTATTCATACATTGTTATATATACTAAAATGATTTGACTAGTTTTGCTATCTTTTTTTAGTTTTTGACATTTCACAAATTATGCCAGTTTCATCAACTTTTGCTATTTTGTTATTTTAAATTTTTTTTTTTTTGCTGAAAGCCAAAACTAAATTTACTATTCATTCATAGTAAAACCTCATCAATCATCAACAGTTGTGCCAGACATGTAATTTGATGAAACCTTTAATCAATTTAAAAATTGTTTCATCAAGTATCTTTGACTGTAATGAGAATTGAGTAAATAGTATTACATATGTGATGCTGCTATTTATCTATAGGTACTGCATGGGATTCATTACTTGATGTTCTGGATAATTTGGGCCAATACCATAATTCCAGCTGAAACTTACAATAATTTTGGTAACAATCTGTGATTTACCCATCTCTACCCATAGGACCTTGCACTGCTATCTATATAGCATAATTACCAAACATGAAGTTTCTTCACTGCTGTGGCAGCCAGATTTTTTAACAATATATAATAATAAGTAATATGATGATTATATGGGGGTGAATCAATAGAAACGCGCCAAATCTTTTTTAGTAAAATATTTTTGCAACTTTAAACAAAAGTAACTTGACAAGAAATTATTCAAAAATTTAATAAAAATTTTTTTAAACAAATTCTATAAGAATTTAGAATTAATTTAAAAAAAAATTTATTAAATATGATCAAGTTCTTGCTAAGTTATTTGGGCTTAAAGTTTTAAAAAAATTTACTTAGAAAAAATCTGGTGCATTTCTATTAACTCACCCCCCATATTTTTAACTATGAATTTACTCATTTTTCTGATTAATAGTCACTTTCAACTGTTGTTATGTGATTAAATCTGTATACAATAAGTAAAAGAATTTAATAATAAATAGTTATCAAGTAAGGCATAATTATAAGTCATTATTACTACTAAAATTACTTTGCCCATCCATAGACTACTTACATATGATGATATGATTTAAATCTAAAAACATTAACTAAAAGGCATCAAGTACAAAGTGAGTGAAAAGCTCCTGATAGTCCTTTTTTTTAATTGCTAATATATCTTTGATCATCAATTTAGCATAGAGCTTGGATCCGGTCATCCGTTTTCATAGTAAATTTAACGGATATCCAACAGATTTTACTATTAAATTTGTATCTAACGGATAACCAGATCCAAGGTCTAATTTGGCATTTATACCACTATTTTGTGAATATAATAAATAACAATTAACAGAAATAGTAAAAAAAAAGGACATTCTCAAGGATCATTCACCCATCTAGTATATTTATTCAAGATCTGTTAAATGCATAAATGTTTATTATGATGTACTAAGCAATACAATATATTACACTCATTACTAACTCCCTTTAAGCAACTCAAGCGCCTAGTTTGAGAACATAAAATTTGTAAATTGTATTATCAAAATAATTTTCCAAATACGTTAAAAAGTTTTCTGAGAACCTAAAAGCTTTTGAGAACATTAAAAAGTTTTCTGAATCCTAAAATTTAAATTTTATGTTCTCAGAGATCAAAAATTTTTTTTTCGAATATCTAACACTGGTAAGAAACATTGTTAACGCTTATGTCAAAAATTTATCTAACGATGTTATGGCCGATTTAATTAAGTTTGTGATTTTGGTGTAATAGATTCAATTACAGTGCGCACGTTTATATCTCTGGTTCAATATAGGAATATGATACTTTCAAACATCTTCACTGACAAATACAGTAATTGAAAAAAACCGTAAGTGTTAAAAGACATTCTATAAGTGGGTTCTTGATATTTATTGCTAAGGCTTTATTGGTTGATAAGAGTTATCTTTCCATAGATTTCGTGCAAACTAGACACACCAAACATGCTCGACAAGCATTAGATCAAAAAATTTAATAATGTTGACATTATTGTTATAATGATCTATAAAACAATCATGATGCAAAACATATAGTTTTTTTTTATTGTTATAATGAACATGCCGAAATCACAACTTAATCCAATCGACTGGAACATCGTTCTGTCGATTTTTATCCGATGTTCCAGGAATTATGAAAATAGCTGTAAATCCAAAACCTAATCAATTTATTTATTGACAGTACGATTCACTGACAATTAATTCATAGACAAGTCTATTTC